GGGCGCCCCTCGTGCCCAATATGCGAATTAGAAATGCGCTGCTCCGCGTCGATATTGCCTTCTGGCCTTGTCGCTCCATTCGGCTGCGGCTGCGCCTCGGGTACTCGGGCACCCGTTGGCCGCCAGCCCGCACCAGAGTGGCGCGGCTGGCGGGCGGGCGTTGCTTATGCAGTCCCGTTGCGCTGCCGTGTCGTCGGGTTGCCTACCCTGCCGCCCGTAAGGCGCCGTGTTCCTCACCGCCGCCCCGCCTGGCAGGCTGGCGGGAGCTGCTCGCGGCATAACTTTAAAGAGAAACTATAGGAATAAATTAATCTCAGTTTGCCTCTCGCGAGTCAGTGCCGACGGCAGCTCTACTCTGAACTGAAAGTATAATGTGCGCCTCCGGGAGTGGAGTCGCGGAGAGTGGGACGGAGAAGCCTATGGAGGGGCTTAGCGGACGGGCGCGCGCGGTGCCGCTGAGCCCCGTGGGAACGGCCCGGGCCAGAGGGGCAGGGCGACGATGGAGGCGACGCGGAGGGGACGCGGCCGGGGGGCAGCCGGCGGGGGACGGGGGCGGGCGAGCGCAGCGGGCAGCACGGGGATCACAAGCCCGGTCCGGCCGCTCCCCGCCCTGTTGGCCGAGGTACAAATCGCATCCCTTCGTGGGGAGGGGGCGGCCAAAGTAACTGTGCCGCCGCTGTGTGAGTGGACGCCGCAGGCGCCGCCGCGCTCCCCCTGGCCGCCTCATAGAGCACAGCTCGGAGCGCAGGGTTGGGGGAGGGTAATGCAATTACCCGCCTTCTGCATGCCGCGACCGCTACTACGTGCCGCCTCACCTCACCTGCGCCTTTAGGACCCCAGCTTTGACTTTGGGCCCTCCATTCCCTTCCCCTCTCTCCCTCCTGGCCAGTAGAGGAGTGGACTCGTATGTGCAGAGAGAAAGGGGGGAAGGGGGGAGGCACACATTGAAGCGGAGAGGGTAGGGGCGGGTGCCCCGGCCGGAAGGGGACGAGGACGCCGGGCCTACGGTCGTCCCACCCGCGCCAGGAACCACAGCAAAGGGTGGGGCAGAGGGGGAGCAGGGGCGAACAGCGACGAGACGAGCAGGTGACCGCTGCAGGCGGGGGTGGGGTGGGGGTGTGGTGTACGGCTGGGGAGCGCCGAGTAACGGGCTGGCGTCGCCAGGGGGAGGGTGGGAAGGCGAGTTGGCCAGTATTGAAGCCGCAGGGGCAAAAGGTGTTTGGGGTTGGAAGTTTTCGACACAACATCGGATGAGGGGGCGTATGAGGTGGTGGAGGGCGTCTTGAACCACCCCCCCCTCCGCCTTGCCCCTTCGACCCGCCGGATAGGCCCATTACCTCGTCCGTGAGCTCAGCCGCCCCCCGCCTCGTCCAGTCGAGCCTGTCTTTGTAGCCGGGGACCGGCAGGGAATGATTCGGCCGTGTAATACAATTAGGGGAGGCTGTGCTGCACCACGCCACCCTTCTCTCTCTCTCTCCGCCCACCCCGTTCTCCCTCTCGCTTTGTGTCTCTCTCCCTCTCTCACCATGAATATTCATGCTGGACGCCGGAGGAAGGGAAGAGGGTTTGCCGTCCGTCCGGGCCGCCCGTGCGGCGCGTAATGAAGATTGTCAGACGTGAAGAGGGCGCGGCGGGGCGGGGTGAGGCGAGGCGGGG